AAGCCATGCATGGAGGTGATGAGCTGTATGAGAAGCCAGTGACATTGTTTATACCACTGGCAGTCTTCTGAAGTCTGCTGAGACAGTTTGTTGTTTCTAGGTTCTCGCTCTTGGGGAAGAAGTGGCTGACCTCAGTTTAGACTCTATCAATCATACAGCTGAAGGACAGCAGAGAAAGCCCCTTTCTATGTGAAGGCTGACGAGGGAAGCCTGGTTATTCCTGTAACACCTCCAAGCAGGGAAATGCCAGGAACCACCGCTGCTAGCAACTCAGTTGGCTTTTGAGCCAGACCACCCTGGAATGCTTGTGGTAGAGCACGAGAAATTCCACCTATGTGGGACATTTACCCAGCTGGCTGCGAGAGGCTGTGCCAGTTCTTAGTCATCTCAGAGCCAGCCCCTGAAGAGATGGCTTCCTTGGCCTCGCTGCCCTGAGTTCCTCTACAAGTCACCCAGTGCAGCCGATTGGACTATTCTTGGCCTATTGCAGAGTATTTTGAAACCAACTATGTTGTAATGCCTGATGTGAGCTGCTGGGTCCTGTGACAGTGATGCCAGAAAGAAATACAGTGACAAAAGAAGCCTTTTGGAAGCCCTCTGCAGAAGCTCCAGAAATTACTTCTAATAACATTTAATCGCAAAAGTCAGGACAGATTCATTATCCTTTGTCCTACACTGGCTTCCAGAGTAAGATTAAGAGCTTGCTGCCTGTACAGCTCTGCTGAGTTACCTAGGGGGACAATACAGAGCAATCCAGTCCCTAGAAGGAAACCACCACAAAGGAGAGGTAATATCCATGGTCTCTCAAGGTACTCCTGCCTGGCTGTGGAATTCACCCTTGCCCAACCAAAGGTTTGCAACACTTCTGCCCAGTCCTGTGTGAGAGCTTTTGAGAGAGCCTTCCTGAGACACATGCCAGTGCTGAATACAAAGACTGATCTCCACTGTTACAGGATGTACCACTGACATCCTGGAGCATGGCTTAATCGCTTCTTTCAGAGGAGCAGAAGGGGAGGAAGGAGGAAGGCAATTAAGTTATGCATGAAGCACTTTTTTCCTCTCTAGCTCACTCTTTTTCATATAGACTTGTTAGACACACACTTTCTGGTGCTCTCTTGTCTTCTCTAGCTTCAGTGCCAGCACTCAAGTATATTTCTGTGCATTTTCACAATGTTATGTTTTTCCATAAAACTTCAGTGGCCGGCTGGAGAGGCTACAATCAGACCAGGTAGATAAGGTATCTAGTGGACATCCTGTTTTGGTAACACATTCCTGGGCTTGGATATCTGTGCTGTGTGCATCTCAGCATGGTTCTGGAGCAGACCTTTTAGCACAAGGTTGGTTCCACATAATCTCCCTCTTCTTGCCTTAATTAATACCCAGGAAACTGCTTCCCAGGGTAAAGGCACTGTTGTCAGAGCCCTAAGCACAGCAAGAGGATGCCTATTTATGTGTCCAACCAACTTGTAAATGAATGTTACATGAGGTAAGGTCTTTGCAGAATCAGACTGAGAAGCTTAATAAGGAAGACATCATAAACAGCCAAGACCAGCAGACACAAGAGTCTGGGTGGCCCCTCTGGCCCCCAAGTATCACAGTATCACACACAGTATCACAGTATGCTGGAGATTGGAAGGGACCTCAAAAGATCATCTAGTCCAATCCCCCTGCCAGAGCAGGAACACCTAGATAACGTTACACAGGAATGTGTCCAGGCGGGCTTTGAATGTCTCCAGGGAAGGAGACTCCACAACCTCCCTGGGCAGCCTGTTCCAGTGTTCCGTCACCCTCACTGAGAAGAAGTTCCTTCTCAAGTTTAAGTGGAACCTCTTGTGTTCCAGTTTGCACCCATTACCCCTTGTCCTATCATTGTTTGCCACTGAGTAGAGCCTGGCTCCATCCTCGTGACACTCCCCCTTTATATATTTATAGACACTTATAAGGTCACCCCTCAGTCTCCTCTTCTCTAAACTATAAAGACCCAGCTCCCTCAGTCTTTCCTCATAAGGGAGATGCTCCACTCCCTTAATCATCTTGGTTGCCCTGCGCTGGACTCTCTCCAGCAGCTCCCTGTCCTTCTTGAACTGAGGGGCCCAGAACTGGACACAATATTCCAGATGGGGTCTCACCAGGGCAGAGTAGAGGGGAAGGAGGACCTCTCTCGACCTACTAACCACCCCCCTTCTAATACACCCCAGGATGCCATTGGCCTTCTTAGCCACAAGGGCACAGTGTTGGCTCATGGTCATCCTGTCGTCCACTAGGACCCCCAGGTCCCTCTCCCCTACACTGCTCTCTAGCAGGTCGTTTCCCAACCTATACTGGAACCTGGGGTTGTTCCTGCCCAGATGCAGGACTCTACACTTTCCCTTGTTATATTTCATCCCGTTATTCCCTGCCCAACTCTCCAGCCTGTCCAGGTCTCGCTGGATGGCAGCACAGCCTTCTGGCATGTCAGCCACTCCTCCCAGCTTAGTGTCATCAGCAAACTTGCTGATAGTACACTCAATTCCCTCATCTAAATCATTGATGAATATATTAAATAATACCGGTCCCAGTACTGACCCTTGAGGCACTCCACTAGTTACAGGCCTCCAACTAGACTCAGCCCCATAGACTACAACTCTCTGGCTTCTCTCCTTCAGCCAGTTCGCAGTCCACCTCACTACCTGGTCATCCAGTCCACACTTCCTCAATTTAGCCATGAGGATGCTGTGGGAGACTGTGTCAAAGGCTTTGCTGAAGTCAAGGTAGACCACATCCACCGCTCTGCCATCATCCATCCACCGCGTTATTTCCTCATAAAAGGCTAAGAGATTGGTCAAACATGATTTCCCCCTGGTGAAGCCATGTTGACTGCCCCTCATAACCCTCTTATCCTTGATATGCTTTAAGATGGCACCAAGGACAAGGTGTTCCATCACTTTCCCAGGGATGGAGGTGAGGCTGACCGGTCTATAGTTACCCGGGTCCTCCTTCTTGCCCTTTTTGAAGACCGGAGTGACATTTGCCTTCCTCCAGTCCTCAGGCACCTCTCCCATTTCCCAGGACTTGGTAAAGATGATGGCGAGTGAGTACTCCATTGTCCATCTCTGACACACGAGGTGTAGTGTCTCTTCAGGACAGCCCAGGCTGTTTCTGATATAGTCTCCTGGACCAGACTAAAGCATGCCTGTCCCAGGCATGAAGAGCTCAGTGGAGTTTGGTGTGGGTCTGTGCTTTACAAGCCAACGACAATACTGGCTATGCAAGCACATTCTGCTTGCTTTATTTTTTTGCTGTCTTTCTGTGTTTGCACAGAGCTGTGGTGAGCAGAACCAGCATCTGTTTAGAAATGCTAAGGCTGGGAACAGTGGTTGATGAGGAAAGAAGACAAAGCCAGGCAGATGCCAAAGGCATAAATGGTGCTTGGTGCACACATGCATGCAAGCTTGGCCATACAGAAGCAGACCGACTGGCCAGAGTTGTCTTTGTTTTTTGCACAGCTGACTTCCTAGCAGATTCGGGCCACTTGGTAATGCTGGTGTTGCTATTTTTCTAGCAGGTTCAGCACAGAGCCACTGGATCCAGATGAAATGGTGTGGCTGAACTAAGGACTGGTGTTTATTTTCTGTATGTGGTGTGCGGTTTAAACTTGTAAAGTCAGTGGAGATCTAGTCAGTACAGGGAATACACCCCAAAGAGCAACCCAGCAGACCAGCCATGGCAGGATACATTCAGTTGTCCATAAAGAGACATTCAGACATCCAAGACAGCCACATGAGGCTAGCAGACACAACACAAGATTCTCCTTTCTGGAGGAAGACTCAGAGACCACCAAAGGGCACCAGCATCTTTGTTCAGGTGATGAGTCCCAGCTGATGTGTCTACTTTAGGGACCTGATCACTCCCTAAGTGGCAGTGACTGTCCCAACAGGATTTCGATTGGCCACAGTGAAAACCTGAGCACATTAGAGCACATGTAGGCACCTGCTTGTGGACACCTAAATGTGTCTTGGCTTTGAACTGAATCCCAGGTGGGCCATCGGCACAGTCCAGCAGAGGAGGGAAGAGCAACCAAAGAGGATGTGCAGAGGAGGAGAGGAAGCACAACTCCAGATTTTGCTGGCACAGCTCATGCAATGAGGGATTCCCCAGGGATGGGGTAGGCAGTGCACAGCACAGTCATCCAAGGAAGTGAGAAGATACCTCACAGCTGGTTTAATTCAAGTCACGTACGGGAGTACAGGGACAGTGGAGCATAGCCATCATGGAAGGAAATACAGGTTCATTCACTTTCCAGCCATGTGAGGAAACAAACAGACCAAATGAGTTCAGATTCCATCCTGTGGACTTTGGGTGCCCAGGAAACCAGGGCATGACATCATCTGGTGGAAAGGAGACAGCAACTCATACAGCCTCTGTAATGCTGTAAGAAACGGTCACTCCTCTACACAGTGGTGAAACTTCTGGTTTTAAGAAAAGCCAACCACTGCTTACAATGTGCAATTCTCCAAAGGCTGCAAGAAAGTATACGGCAGTTACAGCACTCTGAAAGCTAACTTTGAAAAATCCCTTTCTCCAGGTAATTTTGTCATTTAACAGTGGTAGATGTGGACCCACACAGTGGGTGTGTGACTTTAAAGGAGCAAGTGGGGCCAACAATCAGTCTGAGTTGCTGAAGTGGCCATCACCCCATGCCATACACCTGCTGGGTTGTACATTTAAGGCATCAGCGGGTCTCCTGTTCAGCATACATGTGCCAAACCACAAAAGCTTAGTATTTTACCAAAGAAGGAAAATCTTGAAAGCAATTCAAGGATCTACACTAAGAACAGTAGAGTTATAATTAAATCCACCTTAAAAGTAGCGTACCTTTTTTTAGGGCTGAAATAGCACTCTGTATTTTAAGCATTGTTGCAGAAAAAGGAGAGAGGTTGAAAACAAGCATTTTCATGTGAGGGTGTGGAAACTCAGCGTACTAAACATTCACCAAGGCTCCCTGTAAGCACTGGAATTCGTCCTGTCGCTGCTGGCTGAATTCGCATCTCTGACCTTCAGCAGCGGGCTGGAGCCCATCTCCGTGCAGCCCCTACTGCGCCGTGCCGAGGGACGGCAGAGGGAGGACGGGGCAGGGCAGGCCCCGGGGCTGAGCGATCCCCAAGCCCCAGCAGGCAGCGAACCGAGGCGCGGCGAAGAGCGAGCCCGGCAGCCCGGGGAGGCCGCTCCGCGCCCTTGCTCACGCCCAGCAGACGCGGAGCACCTGCGGCTTCCGCGCCACACGGGCAGTCAGCACCTCCGCTGCGGGAGGGTGGCGGCTGGGGGCTCCGCGGGGCGACGCGCAACTTGCGCGGGTTCCCCGCCAGCCCTCCCCGCCTCAGCCACCCTTTGTACCGGCCCCGCGGAGCGGAGTCCCCGCGGCATGGCGCGGCGGGCGGGCGCGCTGTGTCTGTGCGCGGCGGCGGTGCTGTGCGCGGCGGCGGAGCTGCGGCTGACCCTGCTGCACACCAACGATGTCCACGGGCGCGTGGAGGCGCAGGGCGCGGGAGCGCGGGGCTGCGCGGGCGCGGAGCGGGCGGCCGGCTGCTTCGGCGGCGTGGCGCGGCGAGCGGCGCTGGTGGCGGCGGAGCGGGCCGCGCACCGTAACGTGCTGCTGCTGGACGCCGGAGACCAGTACCAGGGCACGGTGTGGTTCTCCCGCTTCAAGGGCTGGGAGGCGGTCCACTTCATGAACCTCCTGCACTACGACGCCATGGTAAAGAGGGCCGGGGTAGTGGCGGGGGGCTTCCCCGTCTTGGGTGGTGGGTCTGTGTTTCCTTTCCCAGCCCTTGCATTGACGCCTCCTGGAGTGCGCTGTGTTGCCTCAGAGAAGTCTGTAGGTCTCGCTGAAATCGTGGTCAGCATCGGCCAGGGGTAAGGAAGGAGAAAAGAAGCGGTGTGCCAGGTGACTGGCACCCGACCGAATGGAGTCATGAGCTGGCAGTCCCGCGGGCAGCCAGAAACAGGGAGCTGGTGCCAGGGCTACAGAGAGGAAAAGGCAGGCATGCCGTGGATGAGCTCCCCTTGGGAGAGGCAGGGGCTTGGAGCGAGCTGGGGAGAGGGATCGGCAGAAGCGTGGAATCCCTGGTGAGACGCCTGGCCTGCGATGAAGAGAGAGGGTAACCGCGCAGAGGCTCTGCGGGAAGGGCCAGGTGGTGCATGTTGGTAATGCTGTTGCAAAGGGTGAGGATTTTTCGTTTTCATCAGTCCCACCCTGGTCGTGTGCAGTCCCACCAGAGCTGTGGTTTTGACAGGGTGTAAGGGGCTGGATGCGTGTGATCCAGGGACTGGAACAGTGCACCTTTGAGGAAGCTGTCTGGGGCTGCACCAGTCCTGTATTTTTACTCTGTCTCTTTTGGTCATCCGAGTGCTGAGAGAAAGGAGGAAGAATTTGAGGCTGAGACTGGGGGATGTCACTCCATGTCCTTAAATCTTTTGTCTGCTAATACATAAAGCCTGCTAATACATAAAGAATTATTGTGGCTTATTTTGCTTGCATACAACCTCAGAAAGGAGGAGAGAGATTGAAGTTATGTTTGAGGATGACTGTATATTTATGTCATTCCAACTGACAGCTTGAGGAAAAAAATCTTCTGCGCATATCACATCCTCTTGTCTTCATCTTTTTTGCTTTCTCTGGTAAATACTGCTCTTTCCCAAGTAAAAATGGCTTCACCCGTTGCTTCCCTCCGCCTCAGAAGAGTTGTGGAAGGGAAGGGATACCCCAGTACACTCTCTTGGGTTAAACACACTTCATACCAAACAGACAGGTCTGTGAAGGACACTGCTCCCTGTTCTTGTGTCTTAACAAACGGTTTCCTAATCATAAAACTAACAGGCTTTTTCTCCCAGTGGTGTGTGTGCATTTAGGACTCATTCTCACTGGGAGCTGGAGAGCCCTTTGGGATTGTGCAGTGCAGAAATAGCTCAAGGTGGTTTTTCCTACCTTTCTTCCCACAGCTTGCTGCTGACTGTCAATCCTCAGCTGCACATTTGCTGGTTTAACTGGTTCATGGGCAGGCTGGGGGCTTGTACAGTTCCTGATCATATCACAAGAAGAAATTCTAATGGGCAAAATCAGCAATATTGAGCTTGTGCCCAGTTTTAGAAATGCATTACGTAGGAAGCACGTACTGACTGTTTAGGAGATCCCATGAGCTTTTTCATCAGAATAAGGTTAAAAAATAATTCCACACCATAGTGGATAGCCAGAGGCTTGTACTGAATGCTTATGCCTTAGGTGAAGTAGTCAACCACTTGTTCTCTGTGGAGGTGCTGCATATTATAATTTGAATGTTGTCACTGGATAGAAGGGGACAGGACAGACTGAGAAGCTACAAGTACTCAGGACCTTTGCTACCAAAGGTCCTGAGGACAGATGCCAAGTGTTGGGCAGTGCCGTGACATCCTTTACAACTGTTCTGTCCATGGACTCACTGAGCACCATGCAGTGGGGATGGTGGCCGGGTGTGCGCGGGGAGCCAGGTAAGAGCCACACTGCGGAAGAGTGAGCTAGCGTTTCTTTAAGCAAAATTTGGGAAATCATATCCCTAACAGAAGGGGTGGGGATTACTGAAATGGTTAGAAGCAAGATACAGGAGTAGGATTACTAACAGGATGAAGGAGGGAACATGAGTCATGGAAGTAGTTACAGGATGGGGGCAGGAGCTGTAGCGGGATTTAGGGCAGCCTGGCAGCGTTAGAGGTTTATTCCGTAAATGGGATGAATTTCCTTTTAGGTTAGCTATTTTCTCATTTCTGCCCTTTCTCACCTCAAGCCTGTTTTGTCTTGTTTAGTGAGGTATTGCCTTCCAAATTTTTTTGGCACTAGCCTTGCTTTTTGGTGTAATTAACATCAAAATCAAAATTGAGTACTGCAAAGTCAATAATTGGAGTGATGATGGAAGTCTTCTGGTTTTACTTTTAAGTTGCATCCTTCTGTTAATTTGTATCCTGATTTTGAAATATTTTTTAACTTGGTTTCTTGTGTAAAGGAGGATTATAGGATTGTGTGATGTGTGCCTAAACATGTCTGTTTATTCCTCCTTGTGACTTAAGCTGGCCAATGGATTCAGATTTGGTGAAGGGATATTGCACAGGTACAGCGTCCTAGAAACTCTGGGCATAAGGGTGGTTAGAAAGAGTACAGGAACCCAGAATGGTACACACATCCTCCTCCCCAGAGGACAAGTTGCATCAAATATAAGACTGTATTATTAGCACCAGTGATTTCTCATGAACAAGAGACTTTGTAACCACCCACACCATGGGAAAAGTTTTGATCAAAGCTTGTATCCTAATGGACATGAAATAGTCCAAACGCGAGATACAAAGCCAAGAGAAACAAGGTTTCATAAGTAGTTGGTTGGTTTTGTTGTTTGTGGGTTGTCAGTTTTTTTTTTCCACAACAAGCTAATGGCAGTTACATGCAAGTCAACTTATTTCATTTGCAACCTTTTGGGGGGAAGGGTGTAATTGCATGTTTAGGATAAACAGAAGGCACATGCGTCAGCCAAAAGGAAATAGCTTGTTACATTCTGAGATGCTCCACCAGGCCATGGACATCTTTTCAGAACATCAGTCAGCATTGAACTGATGAAGGAATCAAAATGAGTTTCCTTAAAGTGTTATTCTTTTTTACGTGATTTTTTACAGCAAGTTAGATTGCAGTTAGGATACAGTTAGAAAGCTGATATAGTTGGAGTGCACTGTGGCTTCCCAGGTCAGGATTTTCCTAAGGACAGGTCTTGGTTCTTTTGGAAAAGTGCTGCAGCATCATGCAAACAATTTGACTCCTTCCCTGGGGTGCGAGTAGGGTTCTCACTAGCATCAGCAGGAGCAGGTGGCTGCCAGTGATGCCATAGTTACTGCTGATATCCTGACTTCCACAGGGCCATTGACTACGCGCCTGTGGGGATCAGAGGAGTCATGAGTCTTTGTCTCCCCCAAAAGCAAGACTGCCAGTCATTTGACTGAAATACTGAGCTTACATGCCTCTAGTGGTCCTGCTCAGGTTGGAACATGACCGGGGTTAATATAATCTATCTGGAAAATAAAAGCTGGAATAAACACATAGAAGTTGTTTATCTGAGTAGTGGAGAGAGGTGTGTAAGTCTTTTCAGATGATGAATGTGACTTTCCCTGCTTAATCTTCAGAATGAAATTACAAGCACTCTTTTGTCTAGAAGAGTTGGTCTGATGGCTTTAGCGCTCCTTTCATGCTTTGCTCTGACTGCCACCTGAAAACTTGTCCCAGGTTACACTATGACTGTTTCTATAGCTATTTCTTCTCTTTCTCTAACACCTAAATATGCTACAAGGTTCTTGTATATATCATGCTTCAGCAAAGTTGCTATCTATGGACATTTTGCTGGTTACTTGGAGGCACAGGCATGTGGCATGTTAGGCTGAGCATGAAAAAGGGGTGGGTAGAAGAAAGTTTTATGGTCCTTTAAAGCAAGTCCATTTTTGTTAAATTAGGCAACCAACCTAGAATAATTAAACATTCTCATCTTGATGGTATTATGTTGCCATTCGATAAACTGGACTGCTTGTTGTGTGTGATAGTTTTAGTTTAGATATCATAGTTTCCATGATAGTGTTATCATAGAATCAGAGAGTCAGAGAATGGTTTGGGTTGGAAGGGACCTTAAAGACCATTTAGTTCCAACCCCCCTGCCATGGGCAGGGACACCTTCCACTAGACCAGGTTGCTCAAAGCCCCTTTCAACCTGGCCTTGAACACTGGCAGTGATGGGACATCCACTGCTTCCCTGGCCAGCCTGTGCCAGTTCCTCTCCACCCTCACGATAAACACACCTGCATGTGTGCACACACCTGTACTATGAATTGTCTGTGGAGATTCTCCTTAGTTGATAAACATTAGAACTTCCAGTATGAAATTATATTGATGATGTCTACAAAATAACATGTTACAAGAAAAGACCAAAGTGCACAAGAACTTCTACTAAATGTGAATTAAATGTGTTTAAAAACCTGTATTCCAGGCACAAGCTCTTAAAATGCATGTTTTATTTAAAGATAACAAATACTGTCACTGGCATTTAACATTTTCTTCAGTATTTTTTTAAGCAACATATTTTCCATACACAAAATACCTGTTTTCCTCTGTGGCTCTTGTTAATCCTCTTGGAGCTACAGGATGAAAAAACAGTGGTTTTTGGTTTGGCATGTAATTGCAGACCTTATTTATGTAGTTTTTGACTGCCACATCTGTATTGATAGAAGATTCTGAAAAGCAAAAACCTAAACCTAAAAAAGACAAAAATAGCATTTCTGTTTTCATGAGAAACAGGGACGTGCTGTTTTAGACAAGATAGGGTTTTATTCCCTAGAGCATAAACCTTGTTTTCTCATACATACCTTTATATATAATTTATGAGACTATTTAGACTGAATATTGGAGGTAGGTTCTTATATTTTCTTCTTGCTTTTCACAGGCTTTGGGGAACCATGAGTTTGATGAAGGTGTGAGTGGATTATTGGATCCTTTCCTTAAAAATGCTAGTTTTACGGTTTTGAGTGCCAACATCAAGGGGAAAACCCCATTAGGGAACGAAATGATGAAATATGTTAATCCTTTTAAAATAGTACATTTTGACTCGGAACCAGTAGGAATTGTTGGCTACACTACGAAGGAGACTTCTTTTCTTTCACAGCCAGGTATGTTTTCTTTAGTATATAAGTTTATGTCCTTTGTTAACTATTTTATTACTTGTCCACTTTTTTGAATCCAGAGATGAATATTTTCAGCTGAAAAGTGAGAAGTTTTATCAGTACTTACTTGTATTGTTCAACTTTGCCTGATTTTTAAAGTGGAGAAGGCTTGTTAACATTAAAAGCCATTTTCATACAGACCTGAATTATATAGTGTCACTGAATTATCCAAGAATACTAAAAAGGTCAGTGAGATTGCAGAAGAGCTGGGGGGTGCTTGTATTGTTGTTGGGTTTTAAAATTTATATTCTTTTATATTGTTATTTATGCATCTAAACAGATGTTAAAGCTTACCTTACAGTGAAATGTGCTCAAACCAAGGCTTTTCTCTGTGTGTTGAAATTGTGATCTTGGATGCCTCCAAGCTCAAGCCCTAGTAAAAGCAAGGAGAGCTTCCTGTGTATTTTTGAAGCAGAAGTTGCCCAAGATGTTTTTAGTCTCTCAAATATTTCCAGAAATTAGACTACAGAAAGAACACGCATTCAGCTTTTACCACAATTGCTTCATTCATGAGTAAAATTAGAATTGATGAGGAAAAGGCTTCTCAATTTCTGTTTTTTCCAACATTGAAGGGGTTTTGGTTTGTTGAGGTTGGTTTTTTAAGTAAAAGAAAATGGTTGACTGGGATGAGAAACACATTTAAATCAGCTGTAGGAGATCTGAGTCATTGTCTGCTCAAAGCTCAGCCCCCCACACCCCCTCCTCCCCAACAAAATCAGACTCTCTTCCCTGTTTTTTTTGCAGGAGGGGTGCCCCAAGCACTGTTTTAAAGCAGTTTCCACACTGAAAAAGGACTTCATATTATTACTTCTCTTTCCATCACTTAGTAATAAAGAAGTAATGCATAGCTTTTTTTAAGAAAAGGAATATTTCATACCTTGAGGAAATACTAGAATATAAAACCGTTCCTTCTGTGCTTTTTGATTCCTATTCTGTATGTTTAAAGTATCAGGAAGTGGATGTCTGAGGTCAGAATAGACTTCTATATCTCACTTCTATTTTACAGTGATGTGTTTTTGGAGTCCTTTCTTTTCTTCTCCCAACAAAAAAGGAAATTGATCTGTATTTTCTGTAGGCAATAGAATTTCACCTGTGCTTGAGGTGAAGTTCTTGAAGGGTGAAATGCTTGAGGGTAGGTGTCATCTGACATCACACTAGGTTTGAACACAGTCAGTGTTCTTCTTCATTAGGAATTAATAAACTAGATCTCAACTCTTCTCCCAAACAACTCCATTGCTGTGGTGAGGTCATCAGCTTAACTCACTTGCAAATCAATTTACTAGAGAAGAGTGCAGGTAGTGTTGGAATGATCCTCTGAAGCGTTTAACTGCACTTCTGGTAACCTTTAGACACCATACTGAATGCCTCAGTATGCCGAGATGCTATAACAGATACCACAACTATTAAAAACAGTGTTGAAAGGGAAGGCTGGTTAGTTCCCTAACTGTTAGTTCCCTGGGGCAGCCCTAAGCTAAGTATATCCCGCAGTGTAATTGAGCAATAAGCAGAGCAAATTCTAACAGCAACATTTATAGTGATCCGAGTTTTTACAGTTTTCTGCTTTGCTTTCTCAGTGTGTGGAGGAACATTTGGAAGCTTTGAAAATGTGAATTCAGGATGTGTTAATATAGCTCAGTGACTGTATATCCTCCGTGACCTAGCAATCCTCCAGACTGATAAAATCATGGCAGAGGTGGGTCGGTGGCTAAATGATTATGAACCTAATTCCTTAGTTCAATGAATAAGATGTATTGCACATTTTAAATTCAGCACCATGCTTATCTCTACACACTTCTTCCAGATGATTCTGTTTTCTCAGACTCTGCAGCAGTTGCTTTGGCGTGCTGTATGCTCTTAGGACATTCTCAAGGCAAATAGGAAGTCTGAAAATGGTGAAACGTGAATTCCTGCATGACCATTTTCCATGGAAATCTTTTGTGGGTGTGATTTCTTCTGCTGTCAAATCCCAATAACTTTGACGCAATCATGAAATTACAGTTTGTACTTTCATAGTTTGCTGAAAACGGCTATCAGCATACTTGAACAGAGTATGAAGTCACTAAGTCTCAGTGATTCCATTGTGAAGGAACAGTTAATCTTTGTTGCAGGTACTGTTACTGTTGTTGTTCAGAAACCACAGGGATGGGGAACTCTTAGCACAATTTGTAGGTTACAGCCAATTGGCAGTTTTTCTGAAGTTTTTCCTTCAACTATCTCAGCCAGTTTTTCCACATCCTCCAAGTGTTGTTTATAACTTGGCACATAGACAGAGTTGTCTATGTATTTGTTTTGCACTAGTAATCCTAAGAGCATCTTTCTGGTATTTGATGGTACCAGCTCACTTGCTTTAGTTCTGCAATGGTGTTGTAAACATCACACAAAATGGTAATGTCTTTATCTGTCCTGAGAGATGCTACATACATGTTTGGTGCTGTGAAATAATATGTCTCATTTTGTCCGCCTTATTTTCATGTAAGGTAGAAGCCCAAAGCTGCTTACTCTGTAACCTGACAGGCAGCATAATATTTACTAAAACTATCAACTTGGCAGAGTTTTCTAAAATGGAATTTTAAATTCCATTTATTCCACTTTATTCTGGCTAGCTTGCATAGAATTTTTAACATGCAGCCAGTTCTTTTTCCTTGTTCATTTATAGCAGTCTGGATGTTTTACCTGAAACTCTGCACCATCTAAAAAGAGAAGAGGATGTCACATCAATTTGATACCTTGAAACAGAACTGAAATACAGGCATGAGCAATAACTCTTAAATAAACACTTATTTCAATTCAGATTGTTTTGAAATACATGCAGGTGAGTGCTAAGCAGCATAGTGCTTTTTGCCTGGTTTCGTGGAGAAGTCAGCGCTGTGTAATTGCTCTTACAGTCTCCGGCTGTGTGACTTTTGAGCCTGCTGGCCCATTTCAGCTCTATTAGATGAAATGCTTGGATGACCAGGATACAAAGCTGTGTGAGGGCTGGGGATGAGGTGCAAGAAGCCTCTGCAGAAACCCCTTTCTGAGGTCAAGGTGGGCAGTGGGCAGTTGCTGGATGGGTGAATTTGGAGGTGTAACTGCCTGTGTGGTTGGTGGTGCCGGTGGCTGCCTGTGCCCTGCTATAACAGTCCTGGGAGAGCGATGGATTTACTGGCACAGGACAAGCCTTGTTTTAACCCTCGTTGTGAAAGCAGGTTTGCTTGGTTCAATGTAGGTTGAAGATTAATAACAGTATGTCTTCAGTGTATTGTAGGCTGCAGGTAACAGAGGGGTAACAGAGCTGGTGCTGGTGGGGAGAGCTGGGTTATCATGGACCACCTGGCATGGGAGAAGTTAGCCTGCAGGCAACTGGATGCTGGCACAGCTGGTCAGCAGGCTCACTTTTGCTCTTCATGTAGAGAGCCCCTTTCTCTTTACAGAACTGATCCCCACACTGTGGTATGCAACACCATTGTAGCTGGTCCATAGATGGTAAGATGAGTATGTGAAAGGCCTAGGCTCAAGGAGCATTTCTCAGACTTCTCCTTTTGCCAGTAGCTCTGTATCAGGCACAGTTTCTGTCAAGCACAAAGATGTACAAAGAAGGGCTGAAGTCAGTGTCTTCCTTCAGGGAGAATAAGGCTAAAGTTGAACTAAGTGCAGTTTTCCACTGTCTTAAGAGGGGGTTTATAGAGAAGACAGGGACAGACTCATCCCAGAGGGACGCAGAGAAAGGACAAGAAACAATGGGCTCATGTAGTAAAACAGGAAATTATGGTGGGACGTAAGGAAAAAATTTGTCACGGTAAGAGCAGTTAAGCCATGAAACAGGTTGGCCAGAGAGGCTGTGGAATTTCAGCTTGCTGGGACCGGACCCATTTGGGCATCCTCATTTGGCTCTGAGTTCCTGCTTTGAGTGGGTTTTGGACTAGATGGCCCCCGGAGGTCCCTTCCAACCTCAATTAACTTATGACTCTTTGATTCTTAAGAAGAGGTCTGCAGGAAGAAAATGTGGGGATGCGCTGCACGATTCAGTCTGCAATGTGCAGTACAGAGGTTCCCTCTGGCAGTAACAGAACTATTCAATGGGTGTGGTGGCGAACCAATTTATGTAACCCTCTTTTATCTTTTCCATTGTAGCTGCTTCCTCTTCATTTCCTGAGACATTTTGCACTGGATCGTGAATTCGATTCACTCCTCCCTTTGTTATGAAATAATGTAAATCTTTTGACTTAAAAAGTATATTTCAAAATGGTTTGATCAAAAACTCAGCAGGAAGGAGAGGAATTAGGTAGAGGCTGAATGGGTAGAAATGTTTCTCGGTTGTCTTCACTGGTAAGTTTAGGATTACAGTTTGTTCACTCTGTTCTTAAACTCCATTCTTAAAACTTTGTCAAAGAAATTAGTCTCCTACATAGTCAGTCCTTTTGCGCAACCCAAAACACTGTGCCCAGGATGAAAGTGCATGTTTACCTAGTGCTCATGTAACTGTTTGTCATGTTAGAATAATTTCAGTGGGCACAGAAACCTTGCAGAAAGACTGAGTTTCCCAACATTGTGGTCTGAAAGAGGTTTCTTCTTTCCAGACACTCCGCTCTTTATGCTCTCATTTCAGGATGGTAGCTCAGTGGTGTGCTGTGCTGCATTGATATTGCTGAGAGTGGTTCGCATTAGGTGAGAGAATCTGTGTAAAAAGGCAGTTCAGTGTTTGCACTTTGAAGAAGCTGCTCTTTAAAGCCTCAGGGGGGGAGAGGGAGGGAAAGAACAAGATGGGTGTGGAGTAAAAAGAGATTTAATTCAGGAGAAGATAGAAGACCTCAAGGAAATATAGTTTGGGAAGGAAAAAAAGCTTTATAGTACAAGTGTTTATGCTCAAACACTTACGTATTTAGTTTCTTTTCTCTAATTAAATAACAAAACCTGCTCAATTTTTGATCCCACAATTGGTGTCACTGGTATTTTTTAATGGAGTTACAACTTGTTTAGTATAGGCAAGTACATACAGCTTAGCAAAGGAATGTTGTCTTACTCTAAGCACAAAGGTGCTCCTGAGAGACTGGAGAACATTAGACCAGGAGTCTGGACCAACTAAGAGCATTTGAAAGCCACTGATACTCAAAGTGCCATTAATTGTACAAAATAGCACCAGATATAAAACTAGTTTTTTGTTTGTTTAAACTAGTAGTTAAAGTACTTTGTAATAATATATTTACATCTGTTCTGTTTTTTAAGGGGACGATGTTATCTTTGAAGATGAAATTGAAGCTTTGCAAGTACAAGTGAATGAACTTACTGCTCTGGGCGTGAACAAAATAATTGCACTAGGACATTCTGGTTTTACTGTGGACAAAAATATTGCCCAAAAAGTGAAAGGAGTGGATGTTGTAATTGGAGGACATACAAACACATTTCTCTATACAGGTATTTAACTTCTTACTAAAATGTTGCTTCTAAAGCAAAGCTAAAACTGTTTCTCTTTAAACTCTGAGAACTTTCACAAATATGGTTTACTGCTGGCTGTACTGGGACAGATCCATAGCTGGTATCTATCCATAACTTCCATGGAAGAAACCGATTTAAAACAGTCTGTAGGTAGGCAATACTCTAACTCACTGAAAGGTTCCTTAATGCTGTGGATGTTCAAAGTGACCTGTGCAAAGCAGGACAGAGAGTGGTAGTAATACTAGTAAATTACTGCCAAACATACCGTACCTGTTTCAAGTTCATACTACAAAGGAGTAAATAAGATGTTTACATTTAAACTTGTGTGTGTTAACAAAAAAAAAAAGAATCGTGTAAGACTTCAAAAGTGATACTGATGTTGATTTTCTGTAGAATCTGATTCATAGGTCTCCATTAGCCCTGACATTAAAAAACTCTTCCCAAGTATTCTCTGTCTTTTTCAGTCCTACTTTTAATCTCTGATTTTATTATTCATCATTTCAGAGGTAGACATCATTCCAGAGGTGAACACTGTTGATCTCTTTTCTTCCACAGCAATGATGCTTTAGGGCAAAACCTGTCACCAGCAGCTTCTCCAGTGCTGCTGCCTTCCCTGACCCCATGTGTAAAGACACAATTAAAATAAAGGCTGGGCTTTATAAACTATCAAAGATAGCTCATTAAATTTAGCTTGTTAAATTAACTGGTTGAGAATATAACAAGAACTTTCTGTAATTTTCCATTAAATTTCCCTTGTGCTTTAGTCACCAGGATAGCACTGTGTACCCTAGGAATTTAATCACTTCAAGGTTTTGCACTGTCCACTTCATCTTCTCTCTACTCATTTCTTCTCACTTTCTCATGCCTGTTTGTCTCATTTGGGCTCTCACATTTTACTGTCCCACCTGTTAAACAGTTTCATGCTACAGATAACGCATTAAACAGTTTGGAATATCTCTTTAATTTGACCTCAAGGAATAACTGATTACTAAGCTGGAGCCACAGAGCATTTACACACCTACCTACAAGTCAGAGGCCGCAAACACTTAGCATAGGGGTGCAGCAGAGAAGTGGCCAAATTGGAACAGACAACAGGACCATCCATCCCAATGTCTTGTCTCCAAGAGTGACTGAGAGTGAATGATGAGGGAAGAGTGGACAAGCCTGTAGAGAGGCTGCACTCAAGTCTGCCTTCATCAAAGGGGACAAAATGTCTTAAGTCAAAATGGCTTATTGGACATGGTCCAAAGAGATGCCACTGTTCGCAACTGAGAATCGTGATCTGAAGTGCTCTGGGAGTTGAGGTATCGAGTTCATATCTGCCTATATCTGTAGGAGTTCACATGCACATCTTTTGTCATCCCAGAGAGTACCCCACTGTCCAAGTAGACTAGGTCAAGTTGTTCATCCTCTCCCCATTTGAAACTGCACTTGCTAATCCATCCAGGAACACCACGAGTGAATTTGTGAACCTTTCCCTTCTAAGTCAAAGCTATCGGCAAACAAGAACACAGCCACGTCTGTGGAGGTGATCTGACTGCACAGTAAACATCTAAATTTTGTGTGTGTTTCTATGTGTACATTGAGCCTATAAGCTCTCATTTAAATCGACAGATGTTAGATCAATAACTGGCAGGAGAATCTGGGAGAGAGTTTTGGCTCAGTCTAAGTGGAGATAAACCAGCTGGTCAGCTGAATCTGTGGCTGTCACAGGAGTTGAGAGACAAACTGCCCATGGAAGACATCTCCATAGAGATGTCTTAATGTAAGGGCCTAATCTCGGACTAGTCCAACCTGCCTGTCTCTGAGACATTTGGAAATCTTTGGTTTATCCACAGATTATGTGGCAAATGTTGCCTTGAATTTTTCAGGTGTGCTTTGGGTGTGTAGAACTGATTCAAACAGTAATGGTAATTTTAGGTTAAAGCACATTAATTTCTACTTTTCATCAGAAAGGATGTTCTGAGAACACAGTGTGTTGGCTAAAACAAGGGAAGAAAACAGGAAAATGTTACAGGTTCTTCAGTTACCCAGTATGAATTTGTGCATTTGTGATGAAACAGCGTCTCAGACTTTGACAGAGATGTGTGCATGGGTTCTAGTGCTGTTTTCTCTGGGGATAAGATGAGCTGAAATGTCTTTTCATTTCAGAAGGAGCACATCTGCTCTTACAATGGAATAATGTCATAGTGATAATTAATCCGTCAAGAAAGTATCAGTATCAGAAAGCATTTCTTTAGGAAGCAAGAAATGAATAAGCATGTAACCATGCACAGCTGATGTGAACTAAAATGATGACCAGAAAGCATAAATTTCTCTTGCTGATGCTGTGTTCATTTGAAGGCTACACAAAGGCAAGAGATCAAAACTGATTCTTTTTCAGTTCCAAAAAAACCCGAAGCCACTTTGCATGGATAAATCCTGCAGGGTTTTCATTAGCTACAGGATTTCTTAAATTCTTCCCAAAATAAATATCAAATAGTGAGGAGGCACCACCAGGAAACCAGCTGTGTTGGCCCAGCTAAAAGTAGAAAAACTAGTTCTCTGGTAAACTTGGTTCAGCTTGTATTTTGTTGCAGCTTTTCTCCCTGGAGAAGAGGAGGGACTAGAGAGAAATAGGAATTGTAGTTCTAGGAGGAACGTTTGTCCTGCTTGCTTATCCCAGGTTTTCATGTTACATAAACAATTGTAAATGGAAGGAAACCACTTGTTCAGGGAGCAGTGGAAGTGAAGAGCCTGCTTTCCTCCGGATCCACGCCTGCTCCGCCATGCCCCTGCCGTGCTGGCACCCAGGCTCTCACTGACACAGGGATGGGAAGTGCTGCTGGCTTTGGGACAGGGGGAGCAGCAGGCTTTGAGGCGGCTCTGCAGCAAGGCCATGCAGCACACAGTGCTTCTCAGAACTGCCTGGCCTTGGTCTTTGCTGACAGTGGGGTAGAAATACTGAGGAAATAACAGGGGGGAATGATACTACTCAGATAATAATGTCAAGCCGACAGGGAGAACGCTGGTACCCTGGAGATAAGAGCTGTGCGGTGTAGTTTTTCTTTGCTGCTTTCCTCGCCTGCGTGGTTTCTAAATCCTGTGGTAGGCTATGCCGATTGAGCCAAGATCTCTTTTCTTTGTAAATGCCTTTAATCTGTCTGTTTCCAAATCCTACATCTAATCACCCTTCAAACTTTGCAGGTTGATAAGAGTTTTAAATGTATGACCACATAACTGTAATGCTAATGAAAAAAACCACCATGTATGTTTTATTAACATTCTCATTTTCTATCTGATGCTGAATAACGTAGTGTGAAGGCGAACAATACATTTCTCAGCCCGAGGCTGGTACATGTGCATTACTGAGAGATTTAGATTGCAGTAACTGGAATGAAAAGTTCCTCTGTTGCTGTTGTGACATGATGTCATGGAGAAGTGTGCTGTCACAACTTAAAAAACACTGTGGCAGTTCTTAGAGCTCATGTCCTGAAAACAACATAGTCTCTTATGCAATAACATAACTGAATGTTACGTTACTGAATGTGTATTTGTCATCCAGTACATTTATTGCCGTTTCTGCTTAATGCCCTATTTGGGGGTTTTAAGGCCGAGAAGCATTTGAAAAGTCATTCTGATAATTCCTGGAAGGTCACATGAGCTGAAAACCCGCTTTACATGCTCCTTTTGTGCAGGCACCCCACCCTCCACTGAACAGCCAGCTGGCCCATACCCATTCATGGTTGACTCAGATGATGGGAGGAAGGTGCCAGTGGTGCAAGCTTACGCTTATGGAAAGTATCTTGGTTACTTAAATGTTACATTTGACAAGAAAGGAAATGTAGTTGAAGCAGTTGGAAACCCCATTCTGCTGGACAGCAGTGTTCCTGAAGGTATGTGGAACAGACGTTTGAATTTGCCTGCAGCACTCTACTGCAATTCAAGTGTTATTATGTTAAATACACAGTACAGTGTCGAAGAAGAATCTGGCTTTCCTTTCTTCCCGAGCTTGCAGTTCTCTTGTGCGTAGGGTTCAGCCTGTGTTACAGTTGTACACTTTTTCTGAGCTGTGGCCTTTGAATATGCACAAATTCAGTGTATGTTTTTGTCTGTTTAAAATGACTGAAAGTCCTTTTGTAAGAGCTTAGATGATACACTACCTTACCATTTGGCAGAGCCCGTTTTAGCTAGCCCTGTAATTATGACTTAAAAGATTGAGGACTAATTTACTCTGTTTTGCCAGAGGCTGGGTTCTCCCGAACAGAGTTTAGGGCAATATAGGAAATTGGAGATGTTCCAGAAAAAACCCTCTGGCAATGTGCAAATAAAATACATGAACCCACAACTTCTTTTTTTCAACACTGATTGTGTTCACTGTTTCAGCTCTGAAGCATGTAAAGGACTGGGAGGAGGAAAGTCTGTTGCTTTCTGGTCATACCCATCCAAGCTCTGTTACCACCTTTTTGTTGGCTCTGTAATTACTTAGGGCTGGTTTTCGAGTCTTCGTTCGTTGCCCAGCATTTGCTGTGTGAAGCTTTTTTCTAGATATGAAGCTAAAAAGTCCTTTTTTTCAGAATTTCTAGGTTCTACCTGAGTATTTATGAAATAGATAATTTAAGAATTATTTGTTCATAGATATTCTGATTGACTGTGTTATTATCAGTGATCCATGAATGGAATGAGGTGATATAAAGAGACTTTACATTCTCTCTGTGATGGCAGGAAAACTAAAAATTCAGATACATGGGTGCTCTCATTTCATAAATGTTGCTATTGTTGACAGTTATGTGGCAAATTGCTTAAAACTAACAGTTGATACAAAGCAGTGGTGACATTATCTGTATAGACAAGTACTTTTGTATCTGGTATTATTAAAGAATTAGATTTGCATCTGGTGGACACATGTGCATAGGGAATTAATTTCTGTGAGGAGTTTATTCACTGACATTGGTATTTGAGCTAGTATTCCTTTTAACACTGCATTAAGGGGGAGGGAGCTATAAATAGGAAGGAAAAAAAAAGAAAGATACGATGTCAAATATAGACCAAGGTCACTGGTATGTTACAAATTCTCCCACTTGTAAAGGTAGGTGCTACAAAACCTGTCAATCAGAGCTCAGAACAGGACTGGGCAAAAGTACTTCTAAGTGTTAGGAGACAACCTTGCTGTGGCACAGGAATAGCTTGTTCACTTGGTTGTCTCATCCTGCCTGCTCCCTTTCCAGGCTTTGAAGTGAGTGTGGATGTCATGCTGCTTGAAGAGCCTTTAGGGAGAGTGTGACATTTTAGAATCATGAAGAGCAGGGTCTTTCCTAAGCTTTGTATTCACTGAAATGTCACTAATATGAGATACGTGTGATGCTTATTTTGCACTTTTATACTACTTTATAGATGAGCACATTAAAGATGAAGTGGAAAAATGGAAGAAAGATCTGGGGAATTATTCTACAGAGATTGGAAAAACTAGTGTTTACCTGAATGGTACAAGCCAAGCATGCCGTTTCCAGGAATGTAACATGGGAAATTTGCTCTGTGATGCTGTGGTAAGACATTGCTGCTCCAGGTGACAATGACATCTAAGTGGTACCCCAGAGCTATTGGATAAAATCCTCCAAACTGTCAGCCACAGGCTCTGCTGCTTTCCAACACTGTGATGTCTAGTTCCTCCCTAGGAAGATCTGGCAGAAGCCAGGCTGTAATGAATCTTGCTGTACAGTGTAAGGAGCAGTTTATTCTTTGGGTGAACCCTCATATAGAGAGCAGCTCACAGCTGGCTGTGAGGCTGCAGTTTTAAGAGACGTGGTAGCCTGACCTAATGAATATGTATTTTATAGCGGGGCTGAAGGTAATATCAAAGAAGATATAAAACCTTTCTGTCTCTTTTAAGTCTCAGATTGTATTGGCTGTGAATTTGCAGAGCCTAGAACAAGTGAAGATGAAAAATCAGTTTAAACATTTTCCTTTGGTAGCTTTATGAGAACACTGGACATCCAGATAAAAAGTCGTGGAACCATGTTTCAATGTGCATCCTGAATGGAGGTGGGATACGGTCACCCATTGATGAACAGAGCACTAACGGTATGTAAAATAACAAGCTGAATGACAGCTTTATCAAAAAGGAAGCATTGAAGCATATTGAATAGCAATACATGCAGCTACATCAAACTCAGATTTATTAGTCTCGATGCTTCCTGGATGACAAAGACATAGGTTCTTGACTGGGACAACGTATGTGATTCTTACCTCTACTGACCCTCATTTTCTTAAATTGTATTTATTTGCCACATTCCTTGTCAAAAATGTATAGTTAAACAACCTAAAATAACATTGTAAACTTTACAGAAGTCAGCATTAAGTCTCATTCTCCCAGGTAGCATTACTGTGGGAGATTTGCTGTCTGTTTTGCCATTTGGAGGTCGTTTTGATTTGGTGAGGGTAAAAGGCTCCACTCTGAAAGAAGCTTTTGAGCACAGTGTGCACAGATACGGAAAAGGAAGCGGAGAGCTGCTGCAGGTTGGAGGTATGTTTTCTTCCTTCCTCTTCTCAGTTTTCCAAACCTTTCTATTGGCCTTGTTTCTATTATGCCTCTCTAAGAACAGAAATCAAGGTGGCCACATGTGCCAGCCCTGTGCCTTACACATGCCACCTGACTGCTTATCCTGTATATTTTTAATGGAGTCACTGAAGCACGTGGGCCATCACTGTTCCCATCAGCAGAGACAGGATTCCTGGTTGGTTCAGTAACCTGTAATGGCAGCAGTTTCACACTTCAATGAACTCCAGGAAGATAAATAATTGAGTATAGCTGTAATACACTAATAGCTACAACAAACTCTGGGTTTCAATTCACTGGCAGCTTACCTGAAGCCCTAGATTGGATGTCTCTGCCAGCTATTGCCAAATTTGTTTAGCAAAATCATTTTGTGCCATTGTCTAATGATTGCTGACAGTTTTAGAGTTAGTCCAACTGAGCTATGGAATTGCTGCAGTGACTCCCTAAACAGTTCAGGGATGAAGAGTTAATATTAAAAACATGTATTTCTTGAATTGCAGCTCCCTGTGTATTTATCCAGATGTATAGTAGGCTACAGTCATGTTTATTGCTGGTCTCTTTGTGATGCAGTGCAGATTTTTATTGTTTATTTAATAGAAAAGCTAAACAAGGGCACAGGCTGATGGATTATTCCCAACCCCTCCTCCTCCTCCCCTGCCCCCCCTGCCTCTCCATTCAAATAGCCTGATGCTGGAGGTGCTAGCCCCCATACGATCTACAACCCCCACATGCCAAGGGCACAGCCCCTGTCTCTCACTTCCCACCACTAAGTTACCGTGTTCTTAGGTACTGCTACAGTAAAGCAGCATCAGCCCCTCTGCTTGCTGCCTTCTCACAGAAGATAGCTAGTAGCTCTGGAAAGGGCTCAGGACAGAAGATCCAGAGCAGGAAGAGAGCCAGGGTTGGAAGAGCCTCTGTGCTTTATAAGCTGTAGTGGCTTCCTGATCAGGAAATTCTTGACAGAGCTGTTGTGGGGGCCTCACTCTCCCCAGACTTTGACTGAGGAAGGCTCACAGCTAGAAACGTTACTGCTCCTACAGTGAGTAGAAACCACAACTTTCAGTCCTGGCCTGGCTTTCTTTTTTCAGGACACTGCCCATAATAGCTGCTAAATTAGGGTGGCTGGCTTTAAAAGAAGTCATTTCAGCCAACAAGCCAGGGCAATAAGCAAGCATATGACTACAGAAATAAGGTGGTTTTATGCAACTGTATCCTAGGTATTTTTATATTGCAGTATCCTAATCTCATGACTTTTCCTTCATGACTCCTTGGATTAGTGACACGAACAGGCAATAAGTAACTGAGGTGGGACAGTGCTTCAGCATTTCTCTAACATCCTAAGTTTCGTTGCATAAAAGTTGAGTAGTGTGCAAGGAAAACAGGGCATTAACTGGCATAATTCAGAACGACACAACCTCTCGGGCTAATGCTAACCTCTCAGTTAATGTAAAGAATCAGGTGAAGATGACAGAGGATGATGCCCCTAGCCCTGGATGTTCAATACGCGCTGCATAAAGTGGCATTCCACCGTGTATTTTTGTAGGCATCCACGTGGTCTATGATCTCTCCAGAGCCCCAGGAAGCAGAGTTGTTACCTTAGAAGTGCTCTGCACAGCCTGCCGCGTTCCAGCCTATGTCCCACTCCAGATGGACCAAATATATAATGTGACACTTCCATCCTATATGTTATTTGGTGGTGATGGCTATCATATGCTGAAAGACAAAAATCTGGGATACAGTAAAGGTAAGTATGAGAACCAACAGGGCTCAGTTGGTACAAGTCTCAGACTTTTTATTTTACTGGATAAATTATTTTCTAGTGTGACTTCTTGTTTGGTTTTAGCCAGCAGTTATGTTCTTTTTTACTTATAGCACAAAAGGTTCAAAGAGAAACTGAGCCTCATCCGTTCAGCACTGCTTAGAGAGTGGTTCTGCAATCAGGATAAGCCAGAAAAGGAGCAAAACCACATATGGCCTTGCACATGTACTCATTACAAAACAAGGCATCAAAAAAGATGATGCTATTTTCTTTGGCCTTTAAATTTCCACTTTATAGAAGTATTTGCAAAGACAGAATGATCACCTCTATTACTGAAGGACATGCAGTTCAGGCAAGGGGACTGATGCCGAGCTGCTCTGCAGGAGTTAGCCTGCCCCTCCGAAAGCAGCAGGACTCTGGCGACAGCCACCCTGCTAGAGACTTAAAAAGGAAGTGTTTTGCAATGCTGTGTGAAGCTCCTCTGAAGCTGCATGCAAACTGTTAGAAACTCAGCGTTCATCCAGTGGACACATACATCCCTTAAGACAAAGGGAACCTTGAAAAAACTTTTGAGATGAAAATTGATTATTTCTGAAAACACAAAGAGGCTGTAGTGCTGTGGTTAAAGTATCTCCTAGGAGCACATCTATGTTTTGCCAAACTTTTAATTTCATGTGCTCTGCTTCTGGATGGTATAAAAGCATGCTTTTAAAAAAAAAAAAAAAAAAAAGAAAAAAAAGAAAAAATCCCTTTGAACCTGTATTACAGCTATTCTTTTGTTTCTACAGATGTTTCAATTTAAAATTGATTCTCAGATTGGTGTTAAATTTAGCCTACAGCTTGCAAATTTGGGGAGGCTGTCCCTCACAGTAATTATCCATTCATGCAGAAATAAATTCACATATAAAGCATTAGGAATCATAGAATGGTTTGGGTTGGAAAGGACCTTAAGATCACCTTAAGGTCCAACCCCCCTGCCATGGGCAGGGATGCCTCACACTAGACCATGTCACCCAAGGCTCTGTCCAGCCTGGCCTTGAACACTGACAGGGATGGAGCATTTACCACTTCTCTGGGCAACCTGTGCCAGTGCCTCATCACCCTCACAGTGAAGGCCTTCTTCTGCATATCTGATCTAAATCTTTAGATCCAGGTTGGAAGGGGGGTTTGAGTAACTGGTGCAGTGGAAGGTGTCCCTGCCTGTGGCAGGGGGGTTGGAACTGGATGATCTTTACAGTTCCTTCAAACACAAACCGTTCTATGATTCTGTGATGATTCTATGAATTTTAGACAGGTTCTTAAATGTTGGTTAAGAGCCAGGCTGCTGCAGAGAACTCTTGTTTTGTCTGTTTGTTTAGGTGAACCTGATATTGAAGTTGTTACGCGTTACCTCCAGAGAATGAAGAGAGTTTACCCAGCAGTTGAAGGTCGAATAAAGTTTTCTTCTGGAAGTCTTATTGAAGCAAGTCTTACCCTGATTTCTGTATTGTTCACTGTAACGTTCTTGCATACTTGATTTTTGCTTGCTGTGTTTCCATTCAGTGAGGAAGGCAGGCAGAGAGATGATGCCAACAAAGGGAAAAGAGAACTGTTCCCTTTTCTTAAACCTTAAAATGAATGTGTGTTGAGGTTTCTGCTTATCAACAGTGAACAGTACAAGCCATTGCTTCAACGCCTCTACCAGCTTAAAGACACATGGTGCAGAACAAGAGGGCAGAATTCAGAACTTTTCTTAGCTTGAATCTGCAGGTACCTTTTACAAGTTTCAAGGAGCAAAGTTCCAGGGAATACTCATGCTCCATTGTAAAACAACCACTGACCAAAATGGGATGTTTTCAACTTGTCTTTTTTTTTTAGCTACTTTAGATAATGAGTTGATTAAAAATCTGGTTCCAGTAATGTAAACAAGCTTTTAAATCTCCACTCAGGGTTAAAGCTCCCAGTCTGCTATTTCTACTCTGTTTCCAGTCATATGCGTTGTAGAGCTGGATTAAACTCAGTGTCATTAAAAGCATGGGGTCCATTTACATGCAACTGAAAAAAGTTTTTCCAATTTTCCTTTTGAAGATGCAGCATCTCACTTATGTTTTCCATTAATAAATAATGCAATGAAAGCTTGATTTGATTTGCATCAATTTAAACAAACTATATACTTCACTATATAATATGATGAGTTTGGAGACTATCCAAGTGAGAACACTATCTATGATTATGGTGCATCTTTGTATGAAAAAGTTTACACCTTTTTCTAAAGACAAAAGCACAGGACTCCTGCCCATTACTCTGTTATCAGCAGCATTCAGAGAGAATGTCACATATGTGTATCAACTCCTTTGGAAGTAGCCCAATAACAGGGCTTTTTACAGCAGAACCTAGCTTTATGACAATTGTGATCATAACTCAAAAGCCTATCTCATCTATGGCAAAACTGTGCTTGAGAAACACACAGTTCTGAGATGGGCTAATGAGTAATGGACCTTTGATCAACCTGGTCTAGCAGAAGGCATCCCTGCCCACAGCAGGGGAGCTGGAACTAGATGCTCTTTAGGGTCCCTTCCAACCCAAACCATTCTATGATTCTGTAAGTATACAGTCAGAAATCAGATTAAATGCTAAGTGACATTTCTGGCACTTCATCCAGAAGTGACAGCTTATAATATAATGCAAACGATTATTTTTATAAGATCATTCACACTGGAATTCTCACATCACGTTTCCATGTTGTTTATTGCCAAATTAAACTGATTATGAGTCTTCTGAATAGACCTGCTGTGTTCTTCTGGGAAGTACACTACACTTTTGCAGCCTGAAACTACTCACTTCTTAAATCCACTGCACCTATGGATTTCCAGGAGAAGGTACATCATGATAAACATTCAGTGTGTATAAATTTCAAGACCTCATTAGTTTCCACATAAATTCAAGGGTTGTGCATGAAAAGACCTGAACTACGCAGCTGCATTAGGTAAGTTGTTTGTCTCCCTGTTCTAACAACAGCTGACCTTGACACACTACTTATAACATGGCATTGATGATTTGTCAGTATCAGCCCCAGAAGTTACTAATTTACAGAATGGTCTTCCCCAAATCAACATAAAGCCAGTAACAGGGAGTGCACTTACAGACAGAACCATACCCACACACCTGTTTTTAAAGAGCTATAACAACTACTTTGGCATACTCAGAGAGAAAGAATACTTTTACCTCCTTTGGACAAACAGAAGGGAAAAGTAAGCAAGCAAAAGTAATACAGAGAGCAAACTGTATTGACAACACCAATATTGCATCAGTTTGCAAAAAGTGAGAAAATGGGCATTGTCTGAAAAAAATGAGGAATGCTTATTAAAGTATCTGTATTGTTCTGTGAGTAAAACTTCTTAATTATCCATGCATGAAAGTCCTTCTCAGATTCTCTTTTATTAAGGCTTGGCCAACAAATTAATATGTATAGGAAAATTTTTCCACACATTTTTATACCACTACATGTTTAGAGAATGCTAGGGATGGGCTTGCATCCTCTCTTCTATGCCTGTTAAGAGGATGAAAAAAAACCAACAAAACCAGGTGAGAAATTGCAGATAAATAAAGGCTAAGATAAAAGTCAACTCCACTTTCCACACCCATTATTACTTTAAGAATGTTTTAAATTTGAAGTTCAGGTTTTAAACAAAATTACACACGATATTCCTTGCTTACAGAAAGCATGAAGGCCAAAGATAGTTCAGAGATGATTCATGTGCAATAGATTCAATCATGTAATTTTGTTTAAGAGAAGAAATAAGTAAGATTTGTTAAGACAGTTAAAAATAAGCTCTTGAGAGCATCCTACAACTTATTCCAAACAATTTTTTTCTACGTATCCTTGAAGAAAAACAACAGCAATTGCTCTTTTAGCAAAGCATATGTCGGCTGATCTCCCAGCTGTCTTATGTCATCCTGTAATTTCACATGAAGAGATTATGAGGAAATGAATTTGACTTTTGCTGGTAACAGCTAAATAAAGTTTTAAATTAAAAAGTACAGATATAGTATTTACCAGTAATTGGTATTAAACTTTAATGTCTTTATTGGATACAGAGATCTTTTTAGAACTTAAATTTTAGGTTATTTACAAGAAAATGTACAATGCACAGTTAAAACATCATATGTCCATTACAACAGTGAACAGCAGATGTTTCTACTGGTTGTCCAGCAAGGTCCCTCCATTCACATCCAACATGACACAGAGCTGCCTTCCTTTGGACCCTGTTAAGCAGTAATGGAGGGAAAAAACAGCTTATGAAGTTTGAAAATGCATATTTACATAAAATGACTAAACTGAGCTGCAATGATTAATGGTATCTGAAAACATCCACCTGAAAACAGAGTTAAGGGAAAGGAACCTGCCTGCAGGTTTTTAATACTATTTCTCAAAATAAGTATTTTTTTCCTTCTTGGGAAGTTCTAACTAGTTCAGCAGTCCAAACTGCTACCCACAGTCTTCTAAACACTGCAATTCTCTGCCCTGGAAACAGCACTGGCATGGTCTTTTTTCAGCTAGATTTCTTTCCCTGCTCAGCTAGGAATGCTTCTCCTCTCTCACCTATCCCTTTTCCTTGTATCCTGCCTGACAGACTTCGTAGGGATGGGCTGTATGTTACAAAGACAAAACTCATCACAGGTGTTTTTCAGCTCTTATCTTTAAAGCCTGTTCACTTACACATGCTGACATTAAACACAGCATCTATTGAGTGATCCAGTATATATCCGCACTGGTATATATATCAGGATAGACCTCCAAGGTATCAGATCTCAAGAGTGGGAAGCAGACTGACATCACTAACTGATTTTTTCCCACCTCTCCCATTGCTGTTTCCCCTGCTGACAGAGCAGTGCTCAAAACAAAGACTTCCAGGATGCTCAGTTTCCCCTTTACACGATGAAGTACACAGTTCTGTTAGCAGCAGCTTGCACTCTGCCCCATCATCCAGATCATTAACAAAGATGTTAAATAGGACTGGACCTAGAACTGACCCCTGGGATACCTCCCTAATTAACGGTGTCTAACTAGACTTTATTCCACCGAGCACCACCCTCTGGGCCTGACCAGTGCTTTAAAGACTATTTAAATGCTTAACATGCCAAGCCTTTAGTTTCTTCAGCATCGATTGAACAAAGCCGATGCTCATAGATATGTATTAGCTGCTGAGATACGAAACAGTTCAGCAGAGTAAAACAGTAGGCCTAAGTCAGGTACTTTCTGCAGCACACAAGTCTCCAAGCTACCTCCTTGGTTGGTTGGGTCTTCTTTTAACTGTTTGAACACTGAGGCGAGGAGGCAGCTATAGAGATGGTGCACAAAGTAGGTTAGATTTGCTAAGCAGGCCTCATTTCAGTGAGAACAATGGAAGGTGCCCCAGCTTGTTCTGACATCTAACATGAGTTCCTGTTTATCATGCAAAATAAACGGCCACTGGCACTCTGCAATCCTCAGACAGAGTGCACATGCAATGAACATCTATTCTAAGTGAGGGGTTTGTTTTTTTTTAAATCTAGTTAACTAGCTAACATCTCCTGCTTACCATGGAGACCAAACAGTAAAATTACTATATAAAACTCAGTGAAGGTTTTATACACGTAAGTACAAATACCACATGGATCACAAACCTAGTGATATACGTTTATATAGCACTTTGTGCTGTGTGAATTCTTTATCTGTGTAAGTTGGAGTCAACATTGCAGTGACTGAACTAGAGGTAAGAAACCTTCCTGCCAAATATTTTTAAGAAATATGCTGAAACTCAACCTGAGCTCTGCATCTGGAATTCACTTCCTAAAGCAGGAAATGCATAAAACAATTCAGCAAAAAAATGGAGACAATTAATCAAAGAGAAAGGCACAAAGATCCTGACTACTTACTGCTCTGCCCAAGCCTACTGAAAGGCAACTGAGACTTTCTGTATGTGAGACAAATGGGCCTAAACTGATCTGGAAAGAGCTAATCAACAAAAATGTAGATAATCCAGGTTTTGATGATTTTAATACTTCAGTAAAACACACATTTCCCACCAAATTTACAGTTAGTATTAAAAGGGAACAGCAGCAAATATACACCAACAACCAAGACTCATTAGCAGCTTGAAGAATTCTGCAGGTCCTCAACAGAGTTAGCACATTACCTTACTTAGCTCTGGAAAGAGCTCTTGAATCCCAATGTCCAGCAGAACATAAGTTAACTGAAAGAAAATAAAGAAAATTAAGAACACTCCAAGGTAAAACTACTGGGTTTTATTTTAACTCTGAATTAGAGCTCACTCCTCTGCTTGAGCCATACATTCACTTCAGGAAATTCTGAGCTAAAAGGCAGGTTTCTCACATGTTCCAAATTACCTGTTTGTTGAGCACCGGTTGCTGCATTCCATCAAACAGAAGTCTGATGCCTTCATATTTAGCCTCTTCCCCAATGCATTTGCCTATTAAATCTAGACCAGATACCAACAAGAAATAACATAAGTCATTAGGAAGCACAGCAAAACAGCTATACAATGCAGTTACAGAGCTCCAGTAACTTTAAAAAAATAAAGCTTAAATTAAAGAAAGTTCAAGTTTTATCCACCTAAAGCAGTACATGGAAAACAAACGAGCATTTGGTTCCACCTCTATTCCTCCCTTTCTTTCAGGGCTGCACACCTAAGTAGTTACTACACTTTTTATAATATCAGTGTATTTCCTAATGCATCCTTTGATAAACCACAAATTGATTTCTTTTTATTACTTTCTGAATAACTTAGCAAATGGGCCCCTGGTTTAGAGAGCGTAAGGATGGCTCAGGTTTGTCTTCCAACTTTATGGTGTGTCTTTCTCAACCCAGTTTTCATCTGGATAAAATACAAACCATAGGAACGTTCTAAAGTTGAAAAATTATGGTATTAAGTACATCTGTAACGCTCTTGATTTCCATCGTGTCTTTATTATTCACTATGCTACAACCTTAGTCAGCAACACGTAAGTGATGGAACTGAAGTCTGGGATTTTTACCCCTAGTATTCTAGTCAAATCTTAGCAGCATGAGTATTTTCTGATTTGGAAAGCTCTGTGACTGTATTTGGGTTATATATGCTTGAATAATTAACCATATTCATACAGAGAGCCATGAAATACAGAACCTGGAATGTATCGCATCATTTCTTCAAAAGTCTGCTTTGCTCGCTTCTGTTTATCCTGGAGAGAGCGAGGTTCAGTATTCTCACAGAACACGGCATCTGCAGCGAAGACACATTAAAAAACCTCTCTTTTAGGCAATCATGTATCACTGCCATCTAAAGTATCTTTTGGATTATGGCTTCTGAGTTGAGCTTCTTTTTTGTATGCTCTTGACTGGAAGGGAATTCTAGACTTGCCAGATAATAGCCTTTCACTTACATTAACCTGATAGAATCCGGAATACCTCTCCTGTGTGGAAGACAACCATCTTTTCCCAGTTTGTTTCCACTCTTTTCAGATTTTTATAGCAATAAGTTCTAGGTTTAAATCAATTATGATTTAGGATTTTTATGATCTCCATACTTACAATTTCCATTATACTTTCAAAACTATAAACAATATGTATACCTTGTGCAAAACCACTATCTTGAACTATCAAAAATTTCAGATTTACCTATGAATGAGAACTGCTCTTCATCAGAAATACAAGGCACTCAGGTTTTAGGCTCTGAAAGACTTACTCCTGTCCTTTTTTGTCTTTCACAAGTGCTCTTTTTTGGCTTGATAAGGACAGAGCTGTC